TGCAATACTTTTATTCATTTGAATTTTCTATCTAAAAGGCACAGAATGTAACATGGTTATCTTGTTACTTGAATATACTGAGACAGCAGAGCTCTGGTGGTAAAGACTTAAAATATCTTTACTGTAAAAGCCACAGCATTACGAGAGCGTTTTCCCATTGCATAAATCTGTTTTTTCTCCTCATGTAACACCAGGGCCTTTAAGCAATGGCTCTAGGAATGGAAGAAAAGTCAGTCCTCTTTACTTTTACATACCACTGACACAATCAAATAACGTCCTGTAATTATTGCGGACTTTTGAGATGGTTTTTTAAATCCACAAATGATCTGTAAAGCCACTCTCTATTAAATAACATGTCTGATCGATCGGAATCCATGAGTTTCCCACCCATGCTGGTTGGAAGAGAGTTTACTGTGGAGTATTCTGCTTTGTTTCTTGGTAACTGCCTTAGCTCATCTCTTGGCATGGATACTTAGAGAAGGGTACGATCGACCTTTCTGTGGGAAGGTTAACAAAAAAACACTTATTGGATATTTGGGAGAAACAAAGATAGTCGTGTGTGTGTGTGTGTGTGTGTGTGTGTGTGTGTTAATGAATATTCAGAGAGTTGCTTTATAGATCATTTGTGGATTTAAAAAAAAAATCACAATAAGATACATTTGATTAAAACTCTATTAAACACAGTCCAGTCATTATCAGATGATTCAGAGGGACTTCACATCCCACACTGCTTCTGACTCATCTGGGAACATCAGTTGTCTTTGTTCTGTAGAAGATGGGCAGACTGGTTAATACGGGATCTGCTGAATTTTCACAGAAGGAACAAAAGGATCGTTAGCTTTTATTACAACCCAGTGGCTGGTGAGGTATAATTTTTACTAGTCAGCAGTATTTCAAATACATTTAAATTTGGCTTGTGGAAAATCAGAAGTGCTAACATTTTGTCTTTTTTTTTTTTTTTTTGAGACTGAGTCTCACGGTGTTGCCCGGGCTAGAGTGCCGTGGCATCATCCTAGCTCACAGCAACCTCAAACTCCTGGGCTCAAGCGATCCTACTGCCTCAGCCTCCCAAGTAGCTGGGACTACAGGCATGCGCCACCATGCCCGGCTAATTTTTTCTCTATATTTTTAGTTGTCCAATTAATTTCTTTCTAATTTTAGTAGAGACAGGGTCTCGCTCTTGCTCAGGCTGGTTTCAAATTCCTGAGCTCAAGCGATCCGCCCACCTCAGCCTCCCAGAGAGCTAGGATTACAGGCATGAGCCACCGCGCCCGGCCTAACATTTTGTCTTTAACTGAAGCATAAAGCAGAGCTTGTGGTATCATTTGGATATATTAAAGATATACTTCTCTGTATTTTTGGACAAATTCTGCTTTATGGTAAAATTACCAATCACACATTGCTGGTGTTATATACTTTTCTGGAGGGCAATTTGCCAATGCATATCAAAAGCCTTTAAAATGAGCATACTCTTAAACTCAAAAATTCTGACTTCTGAGAAGTTTTCCCAAGTAAATAATTGAACAAATGGTAAAAAGTATATCTATGATGATGTCCTTTGCAGCATTGTTTATAAGAACATGAAGTTGGAAAAATTCTTTAATGTCTGTCAGTAGAAAATTTGTTAAAGAGATTATAGTACATCTGTATAATTACTATGTGTATACATATACATTCTATGTATTAATATATGCATGTATGTACATATATACACATAGAATATTGTGTTGCTATTGAAATTATATTCTGCTAATGTTAAAAATAGTCATAAACAAGGTAAATTAAAGAAATGGTTTATGAAATGATATGTATAACGTGATTCCACTTTATTAAAAATGAAAATATAGGAACATGTCTGGTAGAATATATCAAATATTATCACATTCATATCTGGGTAATATGATCCCAGGGAGCTGGTTTTTACTTTCTCCTTTATATTAATACATTTTGTATTGTCCGGTCTTAAAAAATAATAAGTACGTGTTACCTTTAGAATCCAAAAGAATAAACAATTAAGTTTTTTTTTTTTTTCAGTTTTGAAAGAAAAAAAATAAACCTGTAGTGTTGGAATGAAGGGTAGGTTGCCGAGGGGGAGGCCTAAAAGCCAAGAAACTATTGTTTGCTTTGCATGCTGAGGGCTAATGAAGGGAGTCGCACAGCTGAAGAATTTCCACACCTGTCAAGCCATGTGGCATGGACACGATTTCACTTACGAAGTATAAAGTCAACTGATATGTTATTGAGCCAGCAACTGGGCACGCTGTGACTGAAAATACCATGAAACCATTTTGGCTTTTATTTCTGTATTTAGCTTTGTAAACAATTTTAATATGTTTCTTTATTAGGCGTAATAAAAGATCCTTAAAAATCTGGTTCTGGTAAGCGTGTACTCTAGAAAAGAAGCTGCCACTGGAGAGTGGTTACCTATAAATTTTAATCTGTACCAAGTGAGAAGAGTTAGAAGAGAAAATGGAGATGATCTGGTTGTTCAGGTCACTTCTCCTATGAGAATCGAAGATGAAGAAAGGTTAAGTGTGACATGGCCTCGGTGACAAATCTAGTTCATGTCAGAGCTAATGGCCAGCGGCATCTCGCCATGATGCATAGTGAGTAGGTACAAGGAGAAAGACGGTAACATCTCACATTTTTCAAGTATAGGGGGAAATTAAGGGCTTAAAATTTAGTTCTCTTAAGGAAGAGGAAGGGGTTTTGCTTTTAGCATAGGAATGTCCTATGTGGAGCTTTTATGTCTCTTGCTTATCTTGGAAGAGGAAGCCCAAGTATATCCATGTCCTCACCGCTGATCCAGAGATACAGAAAAGCAAATTAAGACTTTCTGTTTGATTAGCTTGGGAAGCAGTCTTCAAGGACTCAATCTCCCTGCTGTGGTTAAAGCTGTCTACTGAGAAATAAGCCAAAGGAATATTAGGCCAAGAATCTGAAGGATGAAGCCAAACCACTGGGAAGGGCTTTCGACTGCAAACTACAATGTGATTGAATTAGAAAGAACACGCGAATCGTGTCATGTTATTACCTCAAACTCAACAAGTCTAAAGTTGAACACTCATCTTTCCTCCCAAAGCAGCTCCTTAACTGAACTTTCCTAATAATAACAAGACATTGCAGTATAGAACATTTTGCCATGACATTATTTCATTTGATTGTTGCTCATAAATGTAACTCAGGTTAATCAAAGTGCTGCAAATTAGTTAAGAGACCAGTTCTGAAAACCAGGTTGTCTGGTTTTTAGGCATCTAGTCATGTATTGTCAACTATATCACACTGTCCTTCTCTCCAGCTTTGTGGAAATAAACCAGTTTTATAGATTTACTAAGCGACACTTTATTTATATTGGCATTTGAGTATTGCACACTGGCAGATTTTAGTAAATAAGAAGTCAGATTTTCTCAAATAGCAAAGAACAAACCAACCAACCTTCAGAATTGCTAATCTTGTTTTTTATAAGATACCTGAGTGAAAAAACATTCATAGCATTTTATTATGAAAGTCAGAAGATGAAACAGATGAAATAAAGTACTGGATCTAAGCCTGAAAGTACCTAGTTTGTAAATCTAACATAAGCAAACCATCATCAGTCATGTTAGGTTCATATTATTGGTATAAATAGTATGGTTCTGCTGTTTTGTTTAATTTGTAAATCATTTTGGCTTTGTAGTTATAGAAGAATTATAAGCATGATCTAGAGCTCTGCCATATATTATGCCTATAGTTAACAATACTATATCATACACTTAACATGAGATCTAGCCTCTTAACAAATTTTTAAGTATTCTTACCACAATAAAAAAAAAAGAATTATTCCTGTGAAAGGTTTATGTATCAGAATTTCTAGTTGTAGATATGTAAGTAACATTGTAATAAAAACACTTTAAGTCGCCAATATAAAAAAACAGCCTGCTACACAATGTGGCCCCATCCTATCCCCATCCCCATCCCTAACCCCCTGACCCGTCAAGCCAGCTCTCCCAGGAGTGGTCGGCAATACTTACGCCTTCTTGGCATTCTGTATCTCCGGACAAGGTATGCCTTCAAAAGTAGCCAAGTCAACCATGCAGGCCATTTCCTCTCGAGTCTGAGCATCTGAAGTTTCTCAGCCCTAATTCTTTATTTGAGAATAAGTATTAGGGGAAACATATCTAGCATAGTGATACTGATTGTATAATTTGCTTAAGATAAAACTGTAAAACCTAAATAATGTATAGACAGGTGATGCTCTCTGTGTCTCTTCTACCTGCCTCGGCCCTTAGGCTTCTATCTAAGTATCTACCTGTGGGCTACCGTGATGTGCCCAGTGTGTGGGTGACGCGATGCTAACACATGTTTTAGAGCAAAAGAGGGGGCCTTAGAGCAAGCTGCTGCCCCTTCAAAGTGCACTGACTCTTGTCCATAACACCCCCTCCCTCCAGTGAAAAGGAACTGAAAGGAAAAACAAAAGCAAAGCAAAAAAAATACCCTGCTCCCAATTTTAATTAGCAATTTTGGCTTATTAACACCAACGTCCCAGTTTGGTAGCATAACTTGATTCTTTTCTGATCTTTGTGACAATGTCTATGCAAACAACTCACATGACCTGCTGAATCCTTTTTATTGATGATATGTATTTCTATTATTTTTGGTTCAATACTTTGGATTTATGCTTCTAAATCTTACATACTGATAATTAGCTTAGTAAGGAAATCTAAATATGCTAACCCACAATTTCCAAAGGCAATCTGCTTTTGTGTGGATTTTTTTAGTTTAAGTTGTTATTTAATCATTGTAAATTACCCTCTTTAGCTATTGGATTAATGCTTTTCAAATACTTAAAAGTCTAAAAACTAGTGAATTGGGTCTCTTACCTTGAGTAACCATCCTTTTAGAACTCGGTGGTTCTTTAAGCAGTCAAGTTCAGAGAAGGGCTCAGGGCTGTTCCTACCTGGAAGTTGGTGGAGACAGTTGGCAGGTGGCATGCTCAGGAGGTTGTCTTTGTAATGTTGCAGAATCGCCTACCAGAGGAATGACGATGATGAGGAAGAGGCGGCCCGGGAACGGCGCCGCCGAGCCCGACAGGAAAGGCTGCGGCAGAAGCAAGAGGAAGAATCCTTGGGACAGGTGACCGACCAGGTGGAGGTTAATGCCCAGAACAGGTACCATCCTCTTCAGAATGAAGAATTTCTAACTTGTGTCTTAGCCTGTCTGTTGAACAGAATTTGTCAGGCAAAGCATTCCATTCTCAGCCCAACTAACCCTTTGTCAGTTCATCTAACTTGTTTAATTATTTTGTGGTCATTTTTTAGGCAACTAATCAGATTGGACAGTCAATCTGATTTAGACATTAGGACACCACTATTCATATCTCCCCCCACCTCCAATCGGTTCCCATCTCCTAAACATACTTCGGTTGAAGGCTTTTGTTATATTTTATAATCTAATATTTTTTAAATGTATTAAATACAGTGAGTTATATCTTTAAATAAGGAAAACTATTTACATTCATTCTATAGAGTATTGCTATCTGTTTTGAACTAAAGAGTTATTAGTTTAATAGAATCCTCTGTGCCTACCAGTAACCCATGAATTTTAAAAGTAGGCATGAATAGCAGATGTCTTCTTTTTCCTAATAGAAAGCCTGAATCAATATTCTCTGATCACTATAATATTCAGCAAGATGCAGAGTCCTGCATTTAATGTGAGTATTCAAACACGCTTAATGATTTATTACTACATCTTTTCCTACTCAGGCCCTGGTAGAAATTAGGGTAGTCAAGAATGCCTAATAGGTTCAACTTCTTCAGAAAGGGCTATTACAACAGAAATAAACTCAAACGGTTCATTATGCTAATGGTCAGTATATGTCATTTATATACCTCAAGGTCTAGAAAAGATGAGGATATTTGAGGGGGAATGGAGAAAAAATAATTTTAATGTAAAACTATGGACAGATTAAATATAATGGATCTACTCCGTATGATCTCATATGTGGCTCTGGTTTTAGTTTGTTTTGTCTAATTCAGTCTATTTAGAAAATTCCGAAGGGAAAGGGTCCTATCCTCTTTAACTCGAATTTGGAGGCTATATCAGAAGGTTTCTGAAATCAATCTTGAAAATGCTGGCTGGCAGGATGTATTCAACAAGGAAGCTTATTGGTTAGGTGAAGAAATAGAGACCTTGTCCCTTGGTACATAGCTCCTAAGTGGGGAGAAAACCTGGCAAAGAGGATACAAGTATAACGTCCAGGGTTCACTAACCAGCTTTGAATCCCAATTTGGCCTTTCACTCACTGTGTTTCTTCACTTCAGTGGAAACAAAAATTATACTTTTCTCCTAAAATGTTGTTAAACTTAATTTAGGTAATGATGCATGTAAAACGTGTAGCACCTTGGACATAGTAAGCACTCAATAAATTTTCACTGTTAGCAGTCTTATAGAAGAGCAGCATAGTCATTCACTGCCTTTTCTGTTTTTAAGCTAAAGGAGAAGAGATAGAATGAGTTTGAAAAATGACATTTTGAGGCCTTTCGTGAATGTAGTTATAGATAGTGACCAACAATGGCTTAAAAATTACTAGTGGTCTGTAGTTTTCTTGCTTTTAAAACCTTGCTTCTGCTTGTGCTTCTCTTCTGTTTTCACATTTTATTATTATTAGTTTTTTCATGGTGTTGATTGACCCAAAATTCTTTATTTTATTTTTAGAATAAAATATTTTTTATTCTTTATTTTTCTTTATTTTATTTTTAGGAAAGCATATTCAAGTCTGAGAATACATGATTTATCTCTGACATTTATTAGCCACAAAAAGAATAAGTCTTCTTGGAGTTAAACAACTATAACTGGCACTTAATATCTACTAATGATTTTTGTCATGATTTACAAATAGGCAAAGAAAGGTTCAATACAGTTTGTTGGTTTCTTACCTCAGGAGTACTTTAATCTGGCTAGCACTTTGGAATTTTGGTACCTTTTTAAAATTATTAGAATTCAGTTGACCCAAATGACTTATATATAGACTTTTGCCCTTAAATTCTAAACTCTTTGTATTTTTAGGGACATTTGATCCTCATATGTCTAATTCATGGAGACAGTGTCCTGCAGCAAAAGCTAAGGCCAAGAAAGTTTAAAATCTAGCCTTTACTCTGCCATTTTTTGTTGTTAAATATGAAATGTGTTTTTCCAAAATCAAGTGAACTTGAACTTCAGAAGGGCCCAGTTTGGTATGAACCATGAAATTTGATGGAGTTTCTAAACATTGCAAGATATTATTCTTACAACTCTGGTCACAGTTCTGGTATCACATGACTGGTTGTTTTCTGCCAGTATAGACGAACACCCTGACTTGGACAGTGTCCAGCATCCTGCAGTAGTGAGTGAGGTGCTGGACATGGTAGAGTTTGGTTTTAGAGATTTTCTTTGCTTGTTTTATAAATATCAAATTTAACTGTCTGTTGCCTGCTGTAGAAAAAGAAGGACAAGAAACCCTTTACTCATGGAGACCTTGACAAAGAAGGTAGCTAATGTATGTACTAGTTAGAGTGATGCTGGCTGCTATACCAATGAGCAGCCCCCACATTTTAGTATTTAATGCAGTAACACATACCAATCCAGTGCGGGTATTTCTGTCAGTAGGTGGAACTAACCACCTGTCTTCTTTCCTTTTGTGATTCTGCCAACCCCGAGGGCTTTGAAGTCCTCTGATCTAGCCAGCAGACAGAGAGGATAGAGAATACACCTCTGCTTCTTAATTGCCTTGGTTTAGACACTTCTGTTTACATGTCATAGCAATTTTTGGTCGTATTGGCCTCACCTGGGTGCAAGGAGGAGGAGCAGGTAGGAAATGCAATCCTTGACTGGCTGTCACTCTCCCATGACTATGGAAGGAGGAGCAGGAATTACGGTGGATGCTTAGATGTCTCTTCCATGGGGGTCATTGGCATGAGTGTAGAATCTCCACAACCGTAACATACACTCCCTTCCTCTCAAAGTACCTTGGTTCTCACCAATCCAGATCAGGAATTCTAAAAGACTTGGTGACATCTGAGAATACTATATGACACTAGAGGAATTCACTCATTATTTCGGTTTGGTCCTTGTCTTAGTTTGAATTCCCCAAGAAGCTGGTCTTAAAACAAAGATTTGAGTGCAAGTAGTTTATTAGTAAAGTGATCCCAGAAACACCAGTAGGGGTGTGGGAAAGTGAGACAGAGAGGGGAAGACAACCAAATAAAAGTTGCATTACCAAGCAGGTCACCACTGTGGGTGTCTGGAGCTTCACTGGGGAGCTCTAAGGTCCCATGTGGAACATGTACCTCAGATTTATCCAACTCAAAAAGTGAGGGCTGCTGAGGTATTTATACACTAATGCTCATCAATTTTTTTTGACATTAATACCCAAAGCACTTCTGGCATGTTGAATAGACTCCAGTGGCCAGAGAAAGACCAAGGGCATGTACTAAAATGGTAACGTCCCAGGGGATGTGGGCATCTGCTGGAGTCCTGGGTAGCACAGGCTGTACCAATGCAGCTGACTGATGAATCAACAAGCTGTCTTTGGTGTTGCTCTCTCTGTTGTACAGTGTGCCCAACGAGGAGGCCAAGACAAGCACCACGAACACTCAGGTGGAAGGGGATGACGAGGCCGCCTTGCTGGAGCGCCTGGCTCGGCGAGAGGAAAGACGCCAGAAACGCCTGCAGGAAGCTCTGGAGAGGCAGAAGGAGTTTGACCCAACAATAACAGATGCAAGTCTGTCGCTCCCAAGCAGCAGAATGCAAAATGACACGGCAGAAAACGAAACTGCAGAGAAGGAAGAGAAAAGTGAAAGTCGCCAAGAAAGATATGAGATAGAGGAAACACAAATAGTCACTAAGTCCTACCAGAAGAATGATTGGAGGGATGCTGAAGAGAACAAGAAAGAAAAGGAAAAGGAGGAGGAGGAGGAGGAAGAGAAGCCAAAGCAAAGGAGCATTGGAGACAATCAGGTAGAGGCGATGGTAGAAGAGAAAACAACAGAAAGCCAAGAGGAAACAGTGGTAATGTCATTGAAAAACGGGCAAATCAGCACAGAAGAGCCTAAACTAGAGGAGGAGAGGGAACAAGGTTCAGATGAGATTCCCCATAACGAAAAGACAGAAGACGAGGACAGGGAAAGAGCTGAGGCCGAGAGGGTAAGGTTGGAAGCAGAAGAAAGAGAAAGAATCAAAGCCGAGCAAGACAAAAAGATAGCAGATGAGCGGGCAAGAATTGAAGCAGAAGAAAAAGCAGCTCTCCAAGAAAGAGAAAAGAGGGAGGCAGAGGAGAGAGAAAGGAGGGAGGCAAAAGAGAGAGAAAGGAGGGAGGCAGAGGAGAGAGAAAGGAGGGAGGCAGAAGAGAGAGAAAGGAGGGAGGCAGAGGAGAGAGAAAGGAGGGAGGCAGAGGAGAGAAAAAGGAGAGAGGCAGAGGAGAGAGAAAGGAAGAAGCAGGAAGAGAAAAGGGCAGCAGAGGAGAGGCAGAGGGCAAAGGCAGAGGAGGAGAAGGCTAAGATAGAAGAGCAGAAACTCAACAAGCAGCTAGAAGAGAAAAGACGTGCAATGCAAGAGACAAAGGTACAAGGGGGAAAGGTAGAAGGGAAACAGGTAAATGAAAAGAAAGTGCAAGAAGATAAACTTCAGACACCTGTCCTAAAGAAACAGGTACAGTAAACATTTTGCACCAAATGTGTGATGCCTGTGACTTACGAGAAATGTAATGCACATCAAATCTGGGACTGAGGCCACATGCGTGCAGCCCACGTGCTTGATCATTTGGCGACCTATTCATTTTTTCAGGCCATAGCAATACGCAAGCATGAAGCAAGTAGTTGATGGCTAAATATTCAATCAACCAAATTTACTGGGACAACCAGAGAGAAACTAATTGCTCTGTGCTTGGTTGTTATGAATACCAAAAAAATGAATTAACGCAAAGATGATCCATGTGGTGGTGCTGTGTTGACTCATGATTCTTTTCACCTGCATCTAAACTCATTCTTTTTAACATCTCTCCTCTATCCATGGGTCTACATGAGGCAAGAGGCTCATGACTTCTCACCTCACTCAAGTGTTTGATGTTGAATAAAAAATTATAAAGTCGGGGTGGGAAGTTGATATAAAGAATAATGATCAGACAATTTCATTTCAAGAAGGCAAAAATAAATCCCCAGAAATTAAGTAGTAATAAAGTGGGAGCTGGTTGGAGCCTTTTATTTAAAAATGTCAGGCTGGGCACAGTGACTCACGCCTGTAATCCTAGCACTCTGGGAGGCTGAGGTGGGTGGATCGCTCAAGGTCAGGAGTTCGAGACCAGCT